CTTACCCGGGTACCCGCTATAGGTCTCATGAGATGGGTACAAGATGTCAAGCGCTCTGGCAAAAAGTACTTAGGTACGCTACAAAATGATTTTAAATGTCATGCATACACTTAAGTTGACTGAAGCCCTATTTTTATTATAAAATATATGTTGGAAGGAATGCGTTAATAGTGAAAGAGAATAGTGTTACCTGTAGTGTATTCACAGAGTTTAAGATAATTTTTGAAATTAAACAATATGTTATGTGACAAACCACGGGTCCGGGTAGTCCCGTGGGTACCTGGGTCTGGGTAGTCCTGTGGGTACCTGGGTCCGGGTAGTCCCGTGGGTACCAGGGTCTGGGAAGTCCTGTGGGTACCTAGGTCCGGGTAGTCCCCCGGGTACCCTGGTCTGGGGGGAAGTCCTGTGGGTACCTGGGTCCGGGTATAGTCCCGTGGGTACCCGGGTCTGTGTATAGTCCCGTGGGTACCCAGATCCGGGTAAAGTCCCGTGGGTACCCAGGTCCGGGTAGTCCCGTGGGTACCTGGGTTCTACCACGGACTTGTTATATAGGTCTGTGGTTCTACTCTGTACCCACCCGACCCAAGTACCTAAGTTACCTGTCCAAGCCCTACTACAGATTTGTGTTTATAGTTTTATTTTTCCAAAATTTGTTGTCAATTTCGCCAAAATTTGGCGCCATTTATTCAAATTGTCTTGGGACAGTTTTGCATGGGGCCATTTTCTCTATAACCCTATCCAGACACAAGTCAATCAGAGTTGTTGTCACTGCCATTTAATAGGATCAGTAATGGTATGAACATGGCAAAGCTCCAACGTTTTGTTTGTGAGTCCATGGCTGAATATGAAATGATTGTCACAGACTGTGTGGAAATGAATAACTATCTTGCAGTCACTTTATTCACTTCAGATACCGACCCATGAAGATCTGGGGTAGAAAAGGTCTTCAGCAACCCATACTTGCCGTAAAGGCGACTATGCTTGTCGTAAAAGGCGACTAACAGGATCGGGTCAGGCTCCCTGATTTGGTAGATACATGTCATCGATCCCAATTGCGTGGATTGATGCTCATGATGTCAATCACTGGATTGTCTGGTCCAGACTCGATTATGTTACAGACCGCCGTCATATAGCTGGAATATTGCTGAGTGCAGCGTTAAACAACAAACAAACAAACAAAAACACTTCAGATACCACGATATACTCCTTGAAAATAATCAGGTGGAATGCCCCTTTCTGTGAATGGTGGCTGTTTTAAAGGGTAGCGATATATGAGTCATTTAAAGTCCTCGTTAGTACTGTTTAGGAGAGATGTCAGTACTAAAAGATTTTAAAAAACGTGTGGCTGAACTAGTGCTGATTTGATTGTGCTAGCCCACAGAGACACGATACCGCAGTTAAACATCATTACATAGTATACTGACTCTGAGCCAACCAGTCCTTGTTTTAGCCCCTTAATACTGAATGCCCGGCAGGGTAACAACAAGTACCATCTTTTTAGTCTTTTGGTATGACGCGGCCAGGCTGAAGCTCTACTTGATCAAGGAGGCAGTCCTTAGATTTAGGAGAAACTTGTGGTTGTTCTAAGAATCTTCTCAGAATTAAGACTTTTTAAGTACTCTAAAAATTTAGATGAATACGGGCCCTGTTCCACAAACTTAGCACTGCAGCTGTTTGTTGTTCATGCTGCACTCAACAATATTCCAGCTATTTAATGGCACCCTGTACATAACATAGTTTTAGACCAGACAAGCAAGTGACTGATTAGAATGATCAACGTCCCCACCAGGGATAGACATGGCCACATAAGTCTGGTAGTCCACGGCTAGTAACAATTTACGCGGTCCAGCTATTTTATAAAAAATCTCATTATTTGACATTACCACCTTTCCGAAATGAGCTTGGGACAAGGTGGATCTGACCAGTGGTGTCGGCCCCTGCACACAATTGTCCGAGGCACTGAGTCTGGCCATCAGATCCATCTTGTCACCTTGAACAACAAGCACAGGGCTCAGGGGACCTATTGTAACCCCATACCCCATGGTGCCATCAAACAACATCTGCTTGAACCAATGACTACTAATGCCTATAGTTCAACAAATATCATCATCAACCAACCGACATCTGCTTCAACCAATGTTGTCATCAACCAACCAACATCTGCTTAAACCAATGACTGCTTCAACTTATGCCTATATAGTTCAACCAATGTCGTCATCAACCAAACAACATTTGCTTCAACCAATGACTGCTTCAACTAATGCCTATATAGTTCAACCAATATGGTCATCAACCAACCAACATCTGCTTAAACCAATGACTGCTACAACTAATGCCTATATAGTTCAACCAATAGTGTCATCAACCAACCAACATCTGCTTAAACCAATGACTGCTTCAACTAATGCCTATATAGTTCAACCAATAGTGTCATCAACCAACCGACATCTGCTTTAACCAATGACTGCTTCAACTAATGCCTATATAGTTCAACCAATGTCGTCATCAACCAACAACATTTGCTTCAACCAATGACTGCTTCAACTAATGCCTATATAGTTCAACCAATATGGTCATCAACCAACCAACATCTGCTTGAACCAATGACTACTAATGCCTATAGTTCAACAAATATCATCATCAACCAACCGACATCTGCTTCAACCAATGTTGTCATCAACCAACCGACATCTGCTTAAACCAATGACTGCTTCAACTAATGCCTATATAGTTCAACCAATGTTGTCATCAACCAACAACATTTGCTTCAACCAATGACTGCTTCAACTAATGCCTATATAGTTCAACCAATATGGTCATCAACCAACCAACATCTGCTTAAACCAATGACTGCTACAACTAATGCCTATATAGTTCAACCAATATTGTCATCAACCAACCAACATCTGCTTAAACCAATGACTGCTTCAACTAATGCCTATATAGTTCAACCAATAGTGTCATCAACCAACCGACACCTGCTTAAACCAATGACTGCTTCAACTAATGCCTATATAGTTCAACCAATATTGTCATCAACCAACCAACATCTGCTTAAACCAATGACTGCTTCAACTAATGCCTATATAGTTCAACCAATAGTGTCATCAACCAACCGACATCTGCTTCAATCAAGGTCGTCATCAGCCAAACAACATAAAGATTAACACACGTCTACCAAAAACTATTCAACTATCAACCAATCTCCATCAATAGACTATATGTACCTGGTTATGCAGAAATTACTATTACAAAGAGCATGTAGATCTGACCAGTATGAATAAACAGGCATTTACTGTCAGTAAACATACCTGTGAGTGCCAGACGGGCGTCACATCCATGACACCACTCTGAAACCATTACTGGTTGTTGCTGTCTCTTCACACTCTCCATTATTGAGTGTATGTTTTGCATATATTGGGAAATGTATACGCAATATTGAATGTCACACCATTAACTGTGTATACATAGGAATCCTATTGAAGCTTGAATCGCAGAGCCAGCTTCAAAAATAGTCTGTTGAAAGGCAGTTGTTGGTTTAGTGACCTGTGAAGATCTGGGTCAGAATTGGTCTTCAGCAATCCATGCTTACTGAAAAAGGTGACTATGCTTGTTGAAAGAGACGACAAATGGGATCAGGTTGTCAGGCTCACTGACTTGGTTAATACATGTCACTGAATCCCAATTGCGTAGATTGATGCTCATGATGTCAATCACTGTATTGTCTGGACCAGACTTGATAATTTACAGACCGCCATCATAGAGCTGGAATATTGCTGAGTGCGGCATTAAAGAACAAACAAATAAGTTGGTTTAGTTGTACCAACATGACATTATGAAAGTATTTGCAGCACAACTGATTGTGAGACTGTGGAAAGATTATAAAATGAATAGTATCAAACATAGATGAAGTGAGTAAGTTTGTCAGTGAGCACATTTGTGTCAGTGAGCATTTGAGTTTGTGTCAGTGAGTTTGTGTCAGTGAGCATGTGAGTTTGTGTCAGTGAGTTTGTGTCAGTGAGCATATGAGTTTGTGTCAGTGAGCGTGTGAGTTTGTGTCAGTGAGTTTGTGTCAGTGAGCATGTGAGTTTGTGTCAGTGAGCGTGTGAGTTTGTGTCAGTGAGTTTGTGTCAGTGAGCATGTGAGTTTGTGTCAGTGAGTTTGTGTCAGTGAGCATGTGAGTTTGTGTCAGTGAGTTTGTGTCAGTGAGCATGTGAGTTTGTGTCAGTGAGTTTGTGTCAGTGAGCATGTGAGTTTGTGTCAGTGAGCATGTGAGTTTGTGTCAGTGAGCATGTGAGTTTGTGTCAGTGAGCATGTGAGTTTGTGTCAGTGAGCATGTGAGTTTGTGTCAGTGAGTTTGTGTCAGTGAGCGTGTGAGTTTGTGTCAGTGAGTGAGTTTGTGTCAGTGAGTTTGTGTCAGAGAATTTGTGTCAGTGAGTGAGTTTGTGTCAGTAAGTGTGTTTTTGTCAGTGAGTTTGTGTCAGTTAATGAGTTTGTGTCAGTGAATGAGTTTGTGTCAGTGAGTGAGTTTGTGTCAGTGAATGAGTTTGTGTCAAAGACATTGTGTCAGTGAGTGAGTTTGTGTCAGTGAGTGAGTTTGTGTCAGTGAATGAGTTTGTCTCAGAGAGTTTGTGTCAGTGAGTCAAGAAGGACTCCATGAGCTTCACACATTGTACCCAAGTGTGGAATTGAACCCACAAGTCAATCCCACCATCAAACATGAGTTTGTGTCAGAGAATTTGTGTCAGTGAGTGAGTTTGTGTCAGTAAGTGTGTTTTTGTCAGTGAGTTTGTGTCAGTGAATGAGTTTGTGTCAGTGAATGAGTTTGTGTCAAAGACATTGTGTCAGTGAGTGAGTTTGTGTCAGTGAATGAGTTTGTCTCAGAGAGTTTGTGTCAGTGAGTCAAGAAGGACTCCATGAGCTTCACACATTGTACCCAAGTGTGGAATTGAACCCACAAGTCAATCCCACCATCAAACATAAAATAATTAGGTACAAACCTGTGGTGGATCTCGGATCTCGGATCTCATTTCAATTAGTTTGTTCACTACCCCTTTCCCTGAAAACAGATTGAAGTGGTTGTGCACTGACCCGCTTTTTAACTTCCTTTTAACCAAGGGCACATATTACAACAAGTACAGTAAGCTTGATATGAATGTAGAATATTCCCAAAATTGCAACAAGAAGAAAAATGAGAACATAGGTCACATATAGCAGAAAACGAGGCCTTTAATAAAAAAAATAATCAATTTGTTGTGGTTAGATTATAGCAATACCAACTGTCCTATATGATTTTTTACTTCAAGACAAGATCCGAATCAATGTGAGGGCATTCAGTTCTTGACTGACTTGCATGATCAATTTGATTTACGTGAGTTCTCGTAGTAGATTACGGAACAGGTCTTAACTACACGAGGAAATTACATGTGATGGACACCGTGATTGTATTAGACTCAGTCTGCACCTTCGTTGATCAGACTAGAAAACTGTGCATTTCACTCTCTGAAACTCACCAAGTAGACTGTGAGATTTGATTTGGTTCGGCAATGTCGTAGGGAATGTTTCATGTTGTACCAAAACTGACCAGCTGATGAAGAGGCAGTGATGCGATTTGTGGCCACGTGTAGTGGTTAGTGATTCACCAAACATAAATCAGTGGACTCTGAGAATGGGCTTTACACATTGTGAAGGGTGAGTGAGTGAGTGAGTGAGTGAGTGAGTATGGTTTTATGCCACTTTAAGTAATATGCCAGCAATATCACGGCTGGGGACACCAGAAATGGGCTTAACACATTGCGCCCATGTCAGGAATCGAACCCTGTGTTCGGTGTGACAAGCTAACGCTTGAACCACCAGGCTACCTGACAACCACAGCATAAGTGAAGAGGGAGGATAAAAGTCAAAGTGGGAGGGCTTGAGCGATGTTGGTTGGTGGAGTTGGGTTGGAAAGGATAACAGTGATGGGAGGGTTGGGAGAGGTTGGTTGGTTGGTGGAGTTGGGATGGAAAGGATAACAGTGATGGGAGGGTTGGGAGAGGTTGGTTGGTTGTGGAGTTGGGATGGAAAGGATAACAGTGATGGAAGGGTTGGGAGAGGTTGTTGGTGGAGTTGGGATGGAAAGGATAAAAGTGAAGGGAGGGTTGGGAGAGGTTGGTTGGTTGGTGGAGTTGGGATGGAAAGGATAACAGTGATGGGAGGGTTGGGAGAGGTTGGTTGGTTGTGGAGTTGGGATGGAAAGGATAACAGTGATGGAAGGGTTGGGAGAGGTTGTTGGTGGAGTTGGGATGGAAAGGATAAAAGTGAAGGGAGGGTTGGGAGAGGTTGGTTGGTTGGTGGAGTTGGGATGGAAAGGATAACAGTGATGGGAGGGTTGGGAGAGGTTGTTGGTGGAGTTGGGATGGAAAGGATAACAGTGATGGGAGGGTTGGGAGAGGTTGTTGGTGGAGTTGGGATGGAAAGGATAACAGTGATGGGAGGGTTGGGAGAGGTTGTTGGTGGAGTTGGGATGGAAAGGATAACAGTGATGGGAGGGTTGGGAGAGGTTGGTTGGTTGTGGAGTTGGGATGGAAAGGATAACAGTGATGGGAGGGTTGGGAGAGGTTGTTGGTGGAGTTGGGATGGAAAGGATAACAGTGACGGGAGGGTTGGGAGAGGTTGGTTGGTTGGTGGAGTTGGGATGGAAAGGATAACAGTGACGGGAGGGTTGGGAGAGGTTGGTTGGTTGGTGGAGTTGGGATGGAAAGGATAACAGTGACGGAAGGGTTGGGAGAGGTTGGTTGGTGGAGTTGGGATGGAAAGGATTACAGTGACGGGAGGGTTGGGAGAGGTTGGTTGACGGAGTTGGGTTGGGAAGGAAAACAGTGACGGAAGGGTTGGGAGAGGTTTGTTGGTGGAGTTGGGATGGAAAGGATAACAGTGACGGGAGGGTTGGGAGAGGTTGGTTGGTTGGTGGAGTTGGGACGGAAAGGATAACAGTGACGGAAGGGTTGGGAGAGGTTGGTTGGTGGAGTTGGGATGGAAAGGATAAAAGTGACGGGAGGGTTGGGAGAGGTTGTTGGTGGAGTTGGGATGGAAAGGATAACAGTGATGGGAGGGTTGGGAGAGGTTGTTGGTGGAGTTGGGATGGAAAGGATAACAGTGATGGGAGGGTTGGGAGAGGTTGGTTGGTTGTGGAGTTGGGATGGAAAGGATAACAGTGATGGGAGGGTTGGGAGAGGTTGTTGGTGGAGTTGGGATGGAAAGGATAACAGTGACGGGAGGGTTGGGAGAGGTTGGTTGGTTGGTGGAGTTGGGATGGAAAGGATAACAGTGACGGGAGGGTTGGGAGAGGTTGGTTGGTTGGTGGAGTTGGGATGGAAAGGATAACAGTGACGGAAGGGTTGGGAGAGGTTGGTTGGTGGAGTTGGGATGGAAAGGATTACAGTGACGGGAGGGTTGGGAGAGGTTGGTTGACGGAGTTGGGTTGGGAAGGATAACAGTGACGGAAGGGTTGGGAGAGGTTTGTTGGTGGAGTTGGGATGGAAAGGATAACAGTGACGGGAGGGTTGGGAGAGGTTGGTTGGTTGGTGGAGTTGGGACGGAAAGGATAACAGTGACGGAAGGGTTGGGAGAGGTTGGTTGGTGGAGTTGGGATGGAAAGGATAAAAGTGACGGGAGGGTTGGGAGAGGTTGGTTGGTTGGTGGAGTTGGGATGGAAAGGATAACAGTGACGGGAGGGTTGGGAGAGGTTGGTTGGTGGAGTTGGGATGGAAAGGATAAAAGTGATGGGAGGGTTGGGAGAGGTTGGTTGGTGGAGTTTGGATGGAAAGGATAACAGTGACGGGAGGGTTGGGAGAGGTTGGTTGGTTTGGTTGGAGTTGGGATGGAAAGGATAACAGTGATGTTGGTTGGGGAGAATGGGTTGGCGAGAGTGGAATAGGTCAGGGTAGGCTAGGGTCATATATAGGGGACTGAAACACTTCAGTTACTGTTGAAATATTAGTGATGATTTGATTATTAACTTTACAGTATGGGAAATGGAATACAGGGTCATATTTTATGAAACCATAAACAAAGGCAGACTGTTTCCAAAGTGAGTTCCAGCATTTTTTTAATTGTAAGTGCACCTGTCCATTTACAAAACATTGTTCACCCATCTTTTCAAAAATCTGTGGCGACACTTGCAGGAACAACAAAATGGGGCAATAATGACAAACGTGAACATCAATACCATCAGGTGGATTATCTCCCTTAGCTGCCATAGAAGTCATCCATTTTTATGCAGATTTTTTTGGCCAAACGTCTGAATATTATATGAAAATGTAATCACTCCCCCATGTCATGACATGAATTGAATTCAACACATTGAAGCACCCATAAAATACACATTCTAAATTCAACTTTCATCACGGTAATCTCATGACCAAATGCAGTCACACATGTTGTGACTCCGTCCATGATTGATGACTGGAAGCCGGGCTCCCATATTAGATCACTACAATGCATACTTGATTAATCAGGCTATCCTTGATCATTGCCTTAAAGATTTCACAGGAAGGCAAAATTGGTTCCTTCATTGAATATATTTATTTTTTTTAAACTGCTTTCAAGGTAGTTGACCAAAAGCATCTGTTGAGTTGTTCATTCTGAATGACACAGCTTGAATTGGAACATGTTAATTTTGATGTTTTCAAATAAAATATTAAAATATTTTAAATTCTGAAAACAATTAAAGAAATATGATAAAGGAATTATAATGAATAAGGTTTTTTTATTTAAGTTCTATTTATTTCCTGAAAAGTGAGGAGGGTGATGCAAAAGTGTGACCTTCCATCACTCAGAATCTCACACTCAGACAATGAAGGATGTTTCACATAACAAATTGCCAAAATATTTTTTTTCCACATTCAGCTGACAGTGTTATGTACTTCAACACTTTTCAAAGCAGAAAGAAAACCCAACTCACTCACTCATCCCAAAACTGTGACTATTGATTAGCAATTTGTTTCCAACCTTCCACTGAGATCATCACTTTCAACTTGATTGACTCCTGAAATTTTGGGAAAGGGTTGATAACATCTTGTACAATGTATCAACTTGCAGATCAAAGGATCTGAAGATCCATCCTCATCATTCACTGATACTTTCATCCTCAGCGAGCAAACTTTACAGTCTTCAATGTAATGATTATCCTAAATCTTAATTCGAAAACTTAATTTTTCCACATGACAATTTTAGTTTTAAGGAAGAAGCCATCAGTGACTCAGGCTACTTTGGTAGTTAGCATGTATGCATAAAATAAAAAGCATTGCAAAAATGTTTGAGATACTTTCAACAATAAATAGGCATCTCTAATTGACATTGCATACATTTGTGCTCACAGCAAATATTTTATACCTGTCAGAAGCCTTAGACGAACATGGAATGGATCAAGTGAAGAAGGCATGTTGTAAATGTTAATCTTCTGAATGGAATTCCCCAACAAGGAAATGCACATGCAATGTGCTACATTCCATAGTTAATGTGCACCACATGTGCATCTGACGGACAGCCCTATCTCCAGCTGACTGACTGTCTGACCCTGCAGGGAGCTGCCGACTGCCTGACCCTGTGAGGAGCAGGTGACTGAGCCACTGGGTGAGGACCTGCTGATTGAGTGACCATGTGGGAAGCAGCTTTGGAGTGTATATACATACTTTCCAAAACTACTTTGTACCACTTGCTTAAATCAGAGACCATATACCGATATACTTGCTGCTCTGCTTAAATCTTGTCCAACTGTTTACATATCTTCCCACACACAATGCATATATTCTGAACAGTTTATATTTAAAACTCCTTCCTGTTGACAGCATGGGGTGTGATATGGGAAATATACACCTGGGAAATAATAAGCATCACCCCTTTTCATTTTCGTATATCTCTAACTTCCATGTATGTTTTGGAAATATCTATACATGATATTGATTTCATTTTGACAAGGGGCCGTCGGGTAGCCTAGTGGTTAAAGCGTTCGCTCGTCACGCCGAAGACCCGGGTTCGATTCCCGACATGGGTACAATGTGTGAAGCCCATTTCTGG